CTGCTCGGTGTCACAATCGAGCAGCGCCTTGGTATTTATCAGCCTCTTCTGCGTTCTGATGCTCCCGTCGGCATTCCGAACATACCTCCCATCCGGCGAGACAATTTTATAAGGAGGCAAACCCCGGACGAACTTAACCACCTTCATATAAGCGGCCGCGTCTTCGGGGTCAAGCGTCCCCGCCCGAAAGATGTAACGGTCGGTCCCCCGGAGATAATGTTCATGCACATGAATCCTCGGCAGCATCACGGCCTCGGGCCAACCGTCCACCACCCGCTCTCCCTCAGAATACAAGGAGTTGATCGCGGCATGGGTTATCGGGCGAACAACGAACCAACGCTCCTTAAAATCCCGGATCGAGTCCGCGTACGTCTTGAAGAGTTTTTCGGGCTGCCTGAACGACACCCATCCCTGCTTCTCGTCAACGGCCTGCCGTTGGAGATTAAAAAGACGGAAGAACAGCGGCAACGTAGCCCCGACCTCCAAAAATTTACAAACGACATTGAAGGCCGTGATGAAGGCCAGGGCGTTCGGATGCAACTGCGAAGGCGCCAGCCGTAAGTGATCGAAGATGCCCAGATGAAAGTCCGAGAAGGGCAGCCTTAACCGGGCCTCTCTGAAGTAAAACTCGTACATAGGGAAACGCATCCGCCCGAACTTAGTACAGATGCGTTGGCGCTCCTTCGGGCGGTATATTTGCCAGTTTTGGGGCTCTCCCTCGGTCTCCCTATCCTCCACGGCGACGCACGCGCTGCTCGGGTCTGTGGCGAAGATCGACGGCGTGGAAAGCGGCTCTTCGGCCACCCAGTCGAATATTGGAGGGGTCCTCCCATCAAAAACGGGTTCATCGGGCTCGTTATCGTCGACCATAATCCCCGGGACGAAGGGCTGCATGGACACCTGAAAAACAGAAGATAATGGTGAATTCGATGGCCAAGATCAAATTCACCCTTCCACCACTAACCAAGTGAAAGGGCGACGGGGACGGCCCGACCAAACGTCCCCGAAGAACAGCCCCCAGACGTAAACGTTATCCCCGGGACACCCGTATCTCCTAAGCGTCTGTGCCCGGGGAATTCAACTAAACCTAAGCGTCTCTCCTCGGGGAGTTCATCGAAAGAGTCGACGGTCCCCGGGACATCCAAGAGTATTCAACTAAACCTAAGCGTCCCTGCTCGGGACACTCATCGGAGAAGTCGCCAGTCCCCGGTACATTCATCCAAAAGGGGCCAAAAACCCCGCCTGAAGCGGAGGACGGCCCATCCTCCTCGGGATACTCAAACTGGTCCTATGAAAAGCATAAAACAGAAGGAACAGAGGCTTACTTGTTCAAACGGTGACAGCGAGATTCACGACGGAGCACGGCGGAGACAACGGCGGTAGAGCTGGACGAGCGATGATCCTCGAGTGAAAGCAAATGAAGCGAAAAGTGAAAAATGAATGGAAGAATCGTTTTTATACCCCAGCTCGGGACTCGAAGCGTCGCTAGGCACTCAAGTACCCTAGGGTAGCCGTCCTACAGACCAACTTAGGCATGACACGTGGCAGAGACTGACAGCCACGTCTTTTCGTCTCTTCCCAGGACACGTTGAGCCCGCTTTTCCGCTTACGCCCTCGCCAGGACCGCAGCTCGGATTCCCGAGGACCTTTCCGCGCAACGGCACCTTTTCCAGCCGGGCACCCTTAAGTCATCACTCCCCAAAAGCGGAGTCACGACTTGGGGGGCTCCTGTTCCGGACTGGGCCCGGTCAACCGGTGAGGCTCATTCACTTGCGGGGCCCAAAGACAACTTGGACAACCACGCGGAGCACACGTGCTGTGATCGGCCTGACGGACACATCCTCACGCCCAGGGACCACGTCCTCTGTTCCCCGTATCGGGCACGGTGCATACTGAGCCATTGGCCATGTGCCCGATACCGGCAGCAAACCGGGCACGCTTCCCCCTCGTACCGGACACCCCACGGACAGGATCTCCCCATTCCGGAGACCACGAGCACGACACATTCTCCACGTATTCCCCCCTTCTGCGGGAGCACGTCATCCCCAACCGTCCACTCCCAAAGACCAGGCACATTTATCGGAGGTCATGGAGCGGTTGGACTAGGGCAAAGACCACGCCCTGGTCTTCCTGACGCCACGTCTGCCCTAGCAGTCCTCTGGGTTGGGCCTATCCGTCCAACCCAGACGACCGTTGGCCCATCGCTGGGGTCTATAAATACCCTCTTCTACAAGAGGGTCAGGTATTCACTTCTTACCCTCTGTACTTGCTCTCACTCTGACCAAATATCTGACTTTGGCATCGGAGTCCCTTGCAGGTACACCCCCCACCTCTTTCGCAACACCGGTGGACAGATATCAGCTCATCTAGACGAGGCCAGGCAGAGCCCGTCCTCCTGATCAGGTCAGATCAGTATAAATTTTAATTTTAAAAATAAAAGTCTATAAATTTTGAAGGATTAACTTTACTATTTATATATTTTAAAATATAAGTTTAAATGATTATATATAGTTAGATTTATTGATATGACATATGTGCAACTTAAATTTGAAATTCATCCAGAAGTATCAGGAAACGATATAAACTATCAGTGTGCCTATTGAACTTGAACCATGTGATATCTTTGATCATGATCATATTACACTAGCGGCTCTTATCGCCGCCGTTGATACCGTTGCACCTGAGCTCACTGTTACCGATGTTCCCAACTCCATTTATCGAAAAAAACAACCTGTTTTAAAAATCACGGTTATTACTGCACATAATCTATCATTTTGGAAAAAATACTTATGGGAAGATCCTGATTTGGATGAATCAGAAAATTGTGGTGAGCTTAGAAAATATTGTTGGAGCATTAATAATCTAAAACAACTTCAAATTAATCAAGCGTAGAACACTTAGTAGAAATTGATTATTTCTTTTAGCTTTTGATGCTTCCAAATTGCATGTAATAATTATAGTTATGTGTAGGGTGATTTCTTTCTAAAGGCGACGTTTTTCTACCACTTGTAATTAAAGGAACTCTCCTCTTTGTCGCTCCACTTCATCCATCGTAAAAATATTGGAAAAAATATGTTTCAATTAGAGAGAATTCATAGTTAACCGTCTAAACTGCATCTCTTGTTGAATTTAATACTTTCTAAAAAGATGCAGTTGAGATTGTTAATTCTAAATTCTCTTTTATTAAGACATGTTTTTTCTCATCTCATGATGAACGAGTAAAGAATAATAAGGATGAGGTTATTCTTATGGATGGTAGAAAAACGTCTCTCCTAAAACAACATTGTTCTTTACCTCTACTTTAGCAGGTCTTTGATAAATATGTCACTGTACTTACCTACAATAATTACGTGTAATTTGGAAGCATCAAAAATTTTAATGGACAATCAATTTTCACTAAGTTTTCTTTGCTTGTTCAATTTGACGTTGTTTTAGATTCTTAATGCTCCAACAATATTTGCTAAGCTTACTTGGATTTTCTTATTCATCTCAGTTTGGATTTTCCCCAAGTATTTTTCCCAAAATGATACATAATGTCTAGTAGTAACCGAGGTTGTTAAGGAAGGTTATCCTTTAGATGTAATGGTGTTTGGAACATTGGTAATAGCCGGCTCAAGTGCAACAATATCAAGAGCTACGAAAATAAACGCCTCAGGTGCAATAGGATCATTAACAGATATATCACTTAGCTCAAATTCAAAAGGATCAGGAATAACAATTAAACTAAAATTCATTCTAGTACCTAACAAATAATTTATCCAATCTATTAATTACATATAAAATTAATTAATGAATTTGTTCAAATCCATCCAATTAATAGAGACTTTTCAAAAAATAAAATCAAAAAGACTTTTAACAAAAAATTTTAACTAAAATAATTTTTTTTAAGTTAATTAAAATATTTTAATTAATTTTATGTATGAAGGGATACTCATCCATTAAAAAATACGAATGGATGATTGAATGAGTTTCATACTTAATGGATGAAATGAATTTTTAAAAAAATTAATAAATTGTTAATAGATTGATTTCATCCAAACTGCTAAAATAGTAGAGTAAAAGTATAACCTATGATCTTTCAGACTTATTTTTCAGTTTGAGCTTGATTTTTTCGAAGACCTAATTAAAAAATTTATATCATTTAAACATATAAACAATTCAACTAATATTTAAATATACTAAAAAATAAAATAAAAAACAATAAGACTAAATATTTCTTTACATAAATTTATTCAACCTTACATAAATACTATGAGATTATTTGTTAAAAGAGAAATTGTGAAAACAACATTTTTAATAAAAAAATTTTAATTTTTTTTCACAAATTCTCCAAAATAACTAAACTTTACTTTTATATTTTAATATAAAATACAAAATAAAATATAATTATTTATTTATTTATTTATATTTATTAAAATAAGTCGGTTAATAAGTTAAAATGTTTTTTAAGGCCTGCAACCTGACCTATATAACTAAATAAACCTGAGCATTTTCTACTTAAAAAAACATAATCTGACTTTAGTTTGTGTAAATTAGGCCCGACCAATTCTCACCCCTAATTTTACCTCCCCTCATTTAAAAATAAACAACCAAAGTAGTTCTAATAAAATAGAACATCAATATCAAGTGCCACCTAAATAAATTGGACAGCAACGGGAGCCCGGTGATTTCAGGCCCTTTAATGGATAATCTGTTCCTTTCATCAAGGTCTAACAAATTTTATCTAAAGAATATCAAATCGAATGAGGAAGCTGAACCAAATCAATTGGTGTTGCAGTTAACTACAATAAGAATTTCAAAATAATGATAATATAATAAACAAAAATAAAGAGACGCTTTCATTTCAAACCAAAAAAAAAAAAGTATACAAAAGTTCAATGCATCCAATGCAACTGTTTCCATCAATGACATCTAGGTTGTTAAATATGGATGGAACTGTATTCTTTCAAGGGCAAGAAAGGTTCTTCAAATCCTCCTCCTTGGGATGGAACTGTATTCTTTCAAGGGCTAGAAAGGTTCTTCAAATCCTCCTCCTTCGCATACCAATTTGGTATTATCTTTGAAACATGAGGATAAAGATCCTTGTACGAGTTCCGAATGGTTCCTTCTGCAACTCCTGTGGCAAGTGATATATCTGTACCAAAACAATAGGTCATGTATACATATATGCAATAGCTTTTATCAATTGGCTAGTATAAAAGAGAGCTGAGTGCATAACTCAATATAGAGGAGGAGCTTCTCAATGGCATGTGGGAGCCATAGCTCCTCCAATTAAATTATTAGTTTATAAATATATAAACAGATTGTAGTATAAGTATATGTAACTGTCCCAGACCTTTGAGAGGTTTTTTGTCATCTGAAAGTTGAGTAATGATGTATATGACTGCAGCAGCAATTGATATGGGACTTCTCCTGTCAGATTAGATATTATTAGAATCAAATACAATATTATAATAAGAATCCATAAAAAATTAAGGTACAGCGAATAACTGAGTTTTATATAATTGAGTCTACATAGTCGACTCTAGGGTGAACCATGAACAATATATGATTTTTTTGGTTCGATAGTTCACTCCACCGAAATTAATCCTATTAGAGGCCGGACACTAAATGTGACACCTCTCTCAACAAGGATTTGATCGAACCATGGTTCTCAGGTTTAACCAGATATCGCCTAGATAATTATCTAAGTAGTGGTTCTAAGTCATATGATGACTGATTGTATAGCTGAGTTGAACTATAACAAAATTACAAAGCTGTCATTTTCACCCAAAACTCAAGCTCCTCCGCAGATGAGCCATTGATGGCGTTAGTGCCATTCAAGAACACCACCCGACCTTTTTCCAAAGTTGTATGTGTAGTATTATTTTTCATTTTGATAGCATCTTATGATGCTTATTATAATTTTATGTTTTACAATCTTACAACGTTCACCCCATCTTAGATAGGAGCTTGAGCTTGACAACATTGTATTAGGGTTTAACCTAACCCTAATCTACATAAGCTATAGCCCTAATCTAAAGCTAATACAGCTGGATGTAGGTTCATTTAACACATAAACCTTGCTCAGAGTTCTCACCATTGCCAATCTTATGCAGTGAACATATATTCCATTATTTAAAGTCTGAAGAAATAAATCAAACTAAAATTTACCTTATATCAAATTCTTCGGATTTCTTAACAGATTCCTGGGCAGCTTTAACAGCTTGATTATTCATACCAAGATTGGAACAAAATCGCCTCTAAAGATTGAGATGAAAAATATGTTAGTAATACCACGATAAGACTTATGGGAGTGGGTTACAGTGCTACACAATGATTGAAGTAGAAAATTATATTGTACAAGTACACAACACTAAAGAAAACTCACCATGAAGTCCCCAGCATGTATTGTTCCCATTTCTACAGTTTGACCACCATTTTCCAAACCCAGTTGCTTCACAATGTATTCTTTTGCTCGGCCAATTTCCTTCTTGGTGGCTCCATTGGCAATTGAGCAAATTTCTATTTGAAATTCATCGGGATCAGGGGCTCAGCTCTCATGTTTCCAGGGAAGCAATGATATATTAAAAAAATATCTTAGGATGTACCTTTTACAGTGCGCGGTATTTCTTCCTGTCGACAAGCAATGTAGAGGCAAGCAGCCAACAACGCATCCTGATTTCTTCCCCTACTAGATTTCTGATCTTCAACCCGCTTGTATATTTCATTAGCCCGGTCCTTCAAATTGATAATAAAAGGAACATAAGAGAAGCAAACACTAGCTTTACATGTAAATTGGAAGTTGAAGATTGAAAAACTATAACAATTGTTTCAAAGTGCAACTAGTACGATACCAACAATCTAACAACAGTTTCATCAGCCTTGACACATGAGAGGATATCACAAGAAACCTTCTCTGGCCCTTTCTCTTTGTTAGATAACAATCAGCTGTCACTCCTCATAACTCGCTTAATAAAATTTGCTAGAGATGCTTTGCCAACTTATGACAAAAAATTGAACCATTCAGAATTTTTCAATGTTTTGTTCCCAAAACTTGTACACACCATTCTCAACGAATTTTACAACAACAAAAAAATTTGAAAAAGGTCTGAGTTCGATGATACAAATTGCAAACCACACTACAAACTCTAGTAAAACAGCATGATAGTTCAATACAATCTAATCTAATCTAATTTAACAAATGATAAAAACAATCTAAAACTCTCGTAAATTGGAAGCTGAAGATTGAAAAACTACAACAGTTGTTTCAAGGTGCAACTAGTACGATACAAACAATCTAAAAACAGTTTCATCAGCCTTGACACATAAGAGGATACCACAAGAACCATTTTCTGGCCCTTTCTCTTCGTTAGATAACATTCAGCAGTCACTCATCATTACTTGCTTAATTAAAAATTGCTAGAGATGCTTTGCCAACTTATATCAAAGTGAACTTCAGCAAAAAAAGAAAAAAAAATTAAAATATTCAAACCATACAGAAATTTTCAATGATTTGTTCCCAAAACTTCTACACCATTCTTAAAGAATTTTACAAAAAAAGTTGAAAAAGGTCGAGTTCTATGATACAGATTGTAAACCACATTAGAAGAAGCATTGAAATCTCTCTCTGCTTTGAATAATACACGCTACAAACTCTTGTAAAACATCATGACAGTTCAATACAATCTAATCTAATTTAACTAAGGATAAACACCAGCTGCATCATCAATCAATCACATTTACAGTACATACACATATGTTGATCAAACTTGCATTCTAATGATGGTAAATGAATGTGAAGGAGACAATAACAATCCGAAACAAAAGATGATTGATACCTTGACGGTTCCAACCAGTCCCAACCTGAAATTTAATCGGATTTATCAGCATATTTCATGATCGCCAAGTTCATCAATTAATAAGATTGAAACTAATTTCATATTATAATCAATAAAAACACCAAACTACGATAGTTCAATTCAATATTCAAATCATATATTTTTGTATGAAACCCTAACTAACCTCTCAGACATGGTGCCAATTGTTTTGAAAGCAAGGATCAAGCCACGATCGGGATTGGAGCCACGATTCTGCCAACGTCCAAGAGAGGACGAAAGGAAATCACCTGATGCACCGTTAGGCTTGGCAATGACGGTGGAGAGACCGCCGTCGGTGAGGAGAGGGTTGTTAGGACCTCCGACACGAACAGGATCGTTATCGCCAGACTCGTTGGCGAATGTTCGCCACTCAGAGGTTTCATCAATGGAGTGAGATTCCAAAACGAGGCCACACTCCGAACAGACCGCGTCCCCCGCCGAGTGGTCGAACACCACCTCAGTCTGCCGCTTGCAATCGCTGCAAAATGCATCAGACATGATTGCTCCGTTCTCGGTAGGGTTTTCAGAGGGAACTGATTTTTATTTGTTTTCAGCTGTTGTTAGATCGATTAAAAAGTGAGATTTTCCGTTGTTAATGTTTGTATCGTTTTTTATTTGGAGGCGTTATTTTTCTTCTTCTCAGATTGAAACGGTGAAAGAATAGTGGAGAATTTCGTTGGAGTTGTTTGTTGGTATTTATAGGAAGAGTAGTCAAAAATCGAATTAAATGAAAAACATGGGTTTGGTTTGTGAGACTCGTTGGTTTGGGAAGGTCATGCGGTTTTCATGTTTAATAAAAAGACAGGTTCGGTTCGATGAACATATTTTATTTATGTATATAGATATACATATTTTAATATATTTTAAAGTACTAGTAGTAATTTGTAATTTATTACTAGTAGATATTTATAAATATTTATAAGAGATTAATTAAAATATATTATCGGTAAATTTATTTTTATTTAATTAAAATTAATTATTTTGATATATAAATATAAAATTATAATTAAACTATTTTAATAATTATTTTTATTATTTTTTCTATCTTTTTATGTATTAAAATAATCAATTTTAATTAAATGATATTGTAAAGTGGTTTTTCAATTCTAATTAATCTCATTTTATAATACTAAATGTTATAACTAATTTTTAATATATTTTATATAATATAATATTAAATCAAATATATTTTTAATGCTTTATTATATTTATAATAAATAAAAAATTTGCAACTTCGATATCTAAAATACAATCCAAATTAAACTACATTAAATTGATTTAAATTGACTCTGATTGAATTGGATTGTAATCAATTATCTAAATTAAATTAAATTGTAACTAAACTTATTTTTATATTAAATGAGTTGTTGTCTAAAAATCATGTAATTGTGCTTAATTAAAAGTACTCTTCCCATCACAATTTATTAAGATAAAATAAAAACTACATTTATCAAAAAAATCAAAATATAATACTTTAAAGTATGACTTTGTGTATTTTTTAAAATAAGTTTTTTTGAAAAAATTAAAAATGATTTTAATTAACTATTAATCATGGAAAAAATAATAAAAGAGCAAATTAAATGTTTTTACATTTAATTTCACCTCTTTAAAAAATGAATTTTTAAAATAAAATGATTAAATGAAATAAAAGTTTATTTTAATTAAAATAAAATAACCTAATATTAATATTAAATTTAAAAATTAACCAATAAGTTTTTCTTAGTTTTTTTTTTAGTAAAAGAAATTTTAAATTACTTCAAAAAAATAACAGTAAGTACAAACAATCCTCAACCGGATCCAGCCACTAACACAATCCAAAAAAACTAAAAGAGCCAAGAAAAAACTAAAGATAATTATCCCCCTCTAACATAAGAATAGCTATGTAATTTCTAATTTTCTTGGTGTTCCATCCTTTGTATACCAATGTATCTATAACTTTCTTCCCCACAATAGTTGTATCTTCATTCATATCAAAATAAAATTTATTCCTAATCATCCAAAGCTCATATACAGTTTCGGATACTGCCATTTTAATGACAGTCGCCCTTGCTCCTTTTCCTTTTGTATTCTACATCAGCCAATTAAGTTCGTCTTGCCAGCTCCTCGGGATACGATGGATCTGAATCCACTGTAGGACTTCCTTCCAAATACTTCTCATTGTTTCACATTCGAAGAATAAATGATTTAGAGATTCATCATTCGAACAGAAACAACATTCAGTGTTTGCAATCACACTGAACCTAGCTAACATGTCCTTAGTTGCTAATCTATCATGACAAGCCAGCCACATAATAAAGTTAGCGCGGGGTCGTGCGTTATTACCGTAGATCAAGTTTGCCCATCTTACCTTCTGTCCATCTTCTTGTAGGGATTTGTACATTTTGCCAACTTTAAGGTTTAGATCCTCCATGATTTCTGCCAGCTTCCCTTTCTTAGCTTTTTTTACTTACCTGAAAACATGAAAAGTTTTTTTTTAATTGAAAAAATTAAAAATATTCTCCAAAATAATATTTTTATTAAATTACCTCAATATCTCTTTAAATTTTGAAATGACCTCTTTATTTTTTGATAATATATATGTTCTATTGTAATTTCTTAAATAGAATTTTTTATTTTACAAATAGGAAAAGAAAAAGAAGAAAAAATATAAAATCATCTAAAAAATAAAATCTCACTAGCAAAAAAGTGTTGATTTCAACAGAGCATCATTACCGAGCAACGAGATGCACACCAAAATTTGAATTACCTTTTCATAAAAGATTTCTATTCATCCTATCAATAAAATCACAAATTGGGTGAGGTAGCCAAGTCACTTTCATATAATAATTTGGGATGGAGTTTAGGACAAACTTAACTAGAGTCAAACGATCAGTCTTACTTAATAACTTATGTTGCCAAGATGTTTACCTCTTATTGATTTTCTCCTCTATAAACTTAAGTTAGAGGTGGCAATTGAATCCATTAACACAAAATCTATCTAATCCATCCACCAAAAAATACACCACATAAAAACTAAGTTAACCGATTCGGTTAAATTCATCCATTTACATGTATTGATTCGGTTAAATTCATCCATTCACAAATATATTAAAAAAATATTTTTTTTAAATACAAAAAATGAATTTTTCAAAAATGAAAAAAATTCAATTTAAAAAAAATAAAATAAAATAAATTGAGTTTTTTTTTTAAAATATAAAAAAATCAATTTAAAAAAAAGTTTGTTTTTTCAAAATAAATAAAAAATGGATGGATGGATATCCATCCATTAAAAAAATGTTAATGGATGGATTAGATTGGATAATTTTAAGAAAATTTTAGTTGATTGTTTTGATCCATCCATTGATAATCCAATCCATATCTATCAAATCCATCCATTTTTCCACCTCTACTCAAAGTCCTTGCATTGAAAGCTAACATGCAATATAGGGAAATCCAATTACTTATCTAGAGTAAGATTTTGCTTGATGCATTTGCTAGAGACAATTATATTCATTTTACTCTTCTTATTGGTAGCGGAGAAGAACACCTTTAATTTAGCAACATTTGCTTTAAGACCAGAAAACATGGCAAAACGATTCAAGATTTCAAAAATGATCCTCGCCTTGGAGTTAGAAACTTTTGCAAAAAGAAGAACATTATCAGCAAAAATTGAGTGTGATAGAAGGGGTCCATTACAAGATAACCTGACAGGTTTCTAATGGCTTTCATCGACTGCCTTGACGATTGTCTGAGACAAGAATTTCATACAGATAACTAATAGATTGGATGAAATGGGTCACCTTGTCGTAATCCTCTAGTTGGAACAAAATTTGGCAGTTGTCTCCCGTTCCAGAGAATAGACATAGAAGAGCTAGTTACACATTGCATGATCAATTTTATAGTAATAGGATGAAAGTTGTTAGCTTTAAAAAAAATTCCAAAAAATCCCAATTAACATGATCATAGGCCATTTCATGATCTATTTTGAACATCATGTTAGCTTTTTTTCTTTTTATATTTATCCGTAGAATGAATTGTTTCTTGAAGGATAATGTCATTATCAGTTGTCCCTTTACTAGGCAAAAAACTGCTATGTAAAGGTCAAACTATTAAATTTAGATAAGGATGCAATATGTTAACCACAATCTTCGTAATAGGCTTATAAATAATGTTTCACAAGATAATGGATCCAAATTCCTTAAAATTTTGGGGCACTCTACCTTAGGAATTAATGTGATAAGATTCTCAAAAATATATTAGTGAAAGTTACCTATCATAAAAGCATTTGATATAACTAGTTCAGCCAGGAAAATATATGCTCGGATAATGATGCATGTCAGACAAAAGCTGCCTTCAGAAGAAGATGAAAACTCGACTGCAGTTGGTTTTTCTAGAAAAGATGTCGAAGGAGTATTGGCTCACGAGAACGACCCAGTGGTAATTAAAGTTCAAATTCGTGATTGAAGCATGAAGTGAGTTTTAGTAGATCCGGGAAGTTCAATCTATGTTTTGTATTGTGATGCATTCAAGGGGAAGAATTTCAATGTCTTTGAGTTATTACCTTTTAAAGGTACTATGGTCGGTTTCTTTGGAGAATAGGTGCAAGTTCTAGGACATCTATCGTTGATGATAACTTTTGGCAATTGTGATAACATGAAGAGCGTCAAGTTTAGGTACCTGGTTGTCAATGTCGCATCTCCTTACAACATTATTATCGGCATACCATCATTCAATGATTTGGATGCAACATTATCCATGTTATACCTCACACTAAAGTATCCTCTTGAGGATGGTCGTGTAGGAGTATTAAAGGGCGATTAGAGACCATCAAGAAAATGTTATAAAGATGATCTGAAACTCAAAAGAAATCTCAAGTAAATGAGCCAGTATAAGGTGATCAATTATAGGTGAATTTAGTGGATGTTAACTCAAGAAAGGACTCGGCAAAAGGTAGTTTGTCATCCATCAAGAATATGAAGAGGGTACTGATAGGTGCTCAAGGAATGGAAGGGAGATTCATTATTAAATAAAGGTAAAAATAATTTCACAAGGAAGATCTGGTATGGGAAAAGGTGTCTGGCCCTAAAAAGAAAGGAAAGCTAGCCCCAAATTAGGATCAACCTTTTCAAATAGGTCAGATGTTGAATAATGGGGCTTATAAGTTAGAAAGTTTAGAGGGTGTGGAAATACCCAAGGCTTGTAGCATAATTAGCCTCAAGTTTTATTTTAGTTATACTATGTAATAAACATCATGAAATGGCAATGCACTATTTTCGCTTGCACGAGAAAGGGTTCTTAATGAGACACTCATAGTTAAAATAATTGTATTGAAAATGTATAAAATAGGCAAAATGGTCCTAGGGCATTGTTGCTACTGCGAAAATCGGGCGCCGGCACAATAAGAGTCGCCACCTTTCGTTATTTATCCCTCGAGCGGGAAAGGAAACGAACAGGAAAAACCTCGCGAAAACGGGACAAGACCGGTCATCGCAACCAAATCAGGGTTCGGGAGTCGGTTA